TCCAATACATCAAATAATTGTAAAAATATCTCACTAAAAGATAAAAAGGTTAACCCGCTGATGATGCTACAGGAAAGGGGATCACCAAAGTCAGCAGGGTTCATTCCCTGGGACCTGGGAATGGCAGTTAGTCCTATATAATTGTTGAAATATTTCAGTCTGGACCATATAGTTTTGGACTGGCAGAATGACACTGCAATGAGCCATGCTAAAATGCTAAAAGAAAGAAAGAGCTGTCTACTTTCAACTTTTTTTTTAAATTACATTTTGGGAAATCAAGTTTATAAAGGCATAGAGGGGTCATATACAGGTTTTAACTGGTCTGTCTGTCTTGTACATAGCCTAGAAAGTGTCTGTGATTCAGGACTGATTCAATGCGCATTATGTATTGCAAATGGAAGACTACAAATTTTCTTGACTGACTGAAGACTGATTTCTCTAAATGTAACTGGACAGTAACAATGTAAGCTATATATTTATGTTTATTCCAAATCAGACTGTGTAGAAATATTCAGACGCTCTGAAGTCGGTGTATGTCTTGTTGTCGTTACATACAGTAGATTACATGTGTGAATCTATGTCTCTTTGTGTGAGTCTGCCTGTGTGTGAGTTGATGGATAGCTCTGTTCACTGCCCCCCTCCCCTCTCCACCTTCAGTAACGAGGGGATGGATGCAGCAGCAAGAGTGGAGGGGCGGTGGAGTAATACAGAGGGGAGGCCACGAGTCCTACACTGTGAACGTTGTCAAACACTTTATGAAAGGAAGTACTTTAATAATCACAGTTCCATTTCAGATCCACTATGCACACAGTCAAATTCACACTGTCTGAACTAAAAAGTTGAAATTAAAGGGTTGCACACCAACCTGATTATTCTGGGGGGTCGTGACTCTAAAAGGTTGAGAACCGCTGCTCTATAGTAAGGGATCAGTGAAGTCATTTTCAATGCATGCCCACTTTGGCCTTTGATACATACAAATTTATTGGGGCATTACAACCAAAATGTAGGTCACCAAGGTCAAAACTACCCAACAGTATATACAGTATATAAAGATGAGCACAACCCTATACACACTTTATGGATGACTTGAGCAACATAAATTTTAGTGTTACACCAAAGATGCTAACAACATTAACTAACCCGTCTGAACCCTTTCTGGTTCCAAAGAAACATTTGTGGGAGTGGGAGGAATCCTGCACTACTGTTGATGTCCGGCAGCTTAGCATACCTTCTCTCTCCCCTGTCAGTGGGCAATTGTCTTGAAGAGGTTTAGTTGTGGGCCTAGCATTGGAAACTATTTGACACTCATTTAAGTTGGCAGGCTCTGAACACTCTATCCCTAATATTCCTTGCCTTTTACAAACTATTTATTCAGTACAGCAGATGGTGGAGGTGCATTTCATACAATTCACCACAAGATGGCAATGCTTGACAAAAGCATGTTCACAGCACAACCTAGTGCTTTACTGAATACATGAAGGTTCGACTGGTTTGACTATCTTTCTTTCTTTCTTTCCTTCCTCTCATCCTCACTCCATTGAAACTGTGTTTTTCAATCTCCATATATGAGCATCTTCAAAGGAAGTTGGGTTGATTTGAATAAAGATTTGAATATTGTGGTGTGCACTTTGAAGATGGGGGTCACCTAACTGCAACAGACAGTGGTGATTTACTTTAATATGCCACAGAAGTTAGAACACTTCTACTACTAAACTGTGATTGGAGGTGTATAAATTTCAACACATCTGAAATTCACTGCTCTTAATAATTAAATGCTCCAGCTGTTGTCAGTATGGGTGATGCACTATCTGTGATTGCGTGTTCTTTTGTGTCGATATCTTGTGTACATCTGTGAATCCTTCACGTGGCTTATTTTAATACAGGAAATCAAGACAAAGAGCAAAGAGCAGCCTGTTCTCTCTCATGAAAAACAGTTTAATGGCAACCACAGTGATAAAGAGTTGAGGGCGTACGGATTAGGATCACAGTAGTGCCATTGTTCCTGATTTGCATGAAACATTGCTGACAGAAACTGAGAAGTTTTTATATCAGTTTATCCATCAGCTTCACCTCCAGTGGAGATTCAATTTGAGCAGCCAACCAAACACCACTAGGTTCACAGAGCTACTGCAAAGAGGCCGAGATATACTGAGCTCCAAAAAAGCTGAATTCAACACGTCCCATTTTTACATTCGACCCTTTGTGCCTGGTAAATGCCCACATCTTTCAAACTCAGTGCACTAATTTGTTTATTGGCTTTTAATTTGAAGTCAAAACTCCAATTCAAGATCATCCTGATAACATCATCAGGGTTACTTCCTCAGGAGGAAGAAGCTCCCTTCAGGGCCACAGTTCCGTCTTCAGGGTGGACCAGCATAGATCTGAAGGTGTTGCATAGTTTGTTATTTTGGAATATGCACCATGGTAACATAATAAAATATAAAAGGTATTTGACACAGGACCCCTCTTCAAAACATGGCCACAAGATTAAGTGATAATGCAGGAGCCACTTTAAGGCCCCTATATTTTTGTACAGATTGTGTTTCAGTGGTGAATATTACCAAACAAATGTGCAATTTATCAAATTACAAAGTAAATACCACAAAGTTGCTACACACCTAATGCCTTTGGGAGACTGGGGGCAGTTGCCCGCTTTGACAATGGTAAACAGTTAAAACCAGCTAACCCTTGACAGGAGCCATTCTACTGCAGATCCTTCTGTAATAAATTTTGCTGATAATATATCTGTACATCAACTTAAACCTGTAATAACTGTTTGTTTTGGTGATGTGAGGACAGTGGAAATAAGTGCAATATTCACTCTCTTTTAGGTCTGTTTTTGGTCTCCTGAGGGAAATAATAATAGGTTCTTTAGCCACTTAACGCTTCACTATGTTCACTAAATAGTGTCTAACTGTGTCTGTCCGCTTTTTGTTGCTGCACATTAGTGTACTGTGGGTGTTTCCAGCTTTTTCTCTGAAAACTGCCTGCTTTGGCTGAAAATAATGAGAGTGGTGAGAGTGAACCAAAACAGTTGTGGACTGACAGCTGAATAATGACCTGAAACTCACTATAAAGCTCTGTAAGGCTGGGAGGGGAGCTGCAGATTTAAATAAAGTACAATTTTGAATCAGTAGGTTTTGTTGCTACTGTTGCTATTCTTAAGAATCTGAACCAGTACATGCGCCACTATGTTGGTACATTTTCATGCATCACAATAAACAGCAACGTGTGGATATCAAAAAATTTTTTATAATTTGTTGTGACTTGCAGGGAGTGAGCTTTTTGAGGCAGGTTTTCACATGCCATACATGGCCAAGAGTCTGCAGGTTTACGACATCATGTGATTTCTAGGTCCTCCTCTTCAAATCACAATAAAGCCTTCACATCTTCACATCTCATGATCAACCTTCAGCGATGTAAGAGTGCAGGTTTGTTGAGGGATGAAATGCATTTCAAACCTGTTTAATGTTTGTTCCAAGGCAGCCTTAAAGTTCTGGTGCCACTGGGTGCTAAACCACGGACATGATATGGAACCTGTGCTGTGAAACAGATACAACTGGCTGAAGAACTTTTTTAACTTTTCTTGATAAAAACAAGTCATAAATCCAAATGTCAGAGGTCTATCTTTGAGATTGACTAATTTATTTCTACATCTAAAGAAAGCATGACGTGTCACCTTTCTGAGAGCGTGTTTATGGGGGTTTGTGCATGCATGTTGTTGTGTATGAATATGGGCAGACATATAGATAAAAGCAAACACATCCCAGATCTGAAAATATGAGGCCTAAGTTTGTGTGTATGTGTGTAATGTGTGTGTGTGTGTTTAGTTTCTGTAACCATGCTGATGATTATAACTTAGTTACTGATTAACTCCTGTCCTACTTACTGAAGCAGTCACAGCAGATATGAATACATACAGTACAGAGGGAAGTTTATTCAGCAGCATGGTCATTCATTTACAGCCGGAAAATCCCATGAATCCAAAACAGGATCAAAGCCGCGGCTCAATCACCATTTAAAGTTTCCCCCCACCCCAGAAATAAAAAATGCGCTGGAGAGTTTTACAATATGCCTAAATGCCTTTGAACTGTTTCTGATACTCCAAGATAAAACTAGAAGATATACGTGTGTAAATAGTGGTGCGAAATAACTGGGAGGTTTTATTACTGGGTGTGGAGACTGTTTTCTTTTTCTTTAATTGGTTACCTGCATGATCTTCCGGTCAGACTTTCCCTGCTGTATCAATTCTGTTGAACATGTCGATTCTCAAATGTGTTGTTGTTTTACAAGCCCAATACCAACATTGAGATTTAAGGTTTAGCCTTTATGTTTGGGGTTAACATTAAAATTAGGACAACAAGTACAACTAATAGAAGGTACAACTGATCTGGGACTACTATTGTAAAAACAATTTGCATCCGACCACACCAGCGTTTCCGGGTCATTTTTGCAGAGACCTCCGTCCACAGTGAAACACCTAAACATGATAAAAATGGCTACATCTCTTCTTCTTCTCCCTCTTTTCAGTTGGCAAATGACAAAACTGCATCACAGTCAAGACCTGGAGTGGGACAGACAGCAAAGCTGCTGACGTTATTACCCCTCAAATAAGTAAGATAATCTGATTAATATGTTGACATGGCTGTTAAAATAATCAAAATGCCTAATTTTGCTGATAATCAAGTTATCAGCGTGCATGTTGACACGCTGAATCTAATTATTAATAGTTTTGGAATATTATTTGTCCAGGGTGGGTTCTATGACATAACTGTCAGAGTTGCATATATGCAACCAACAACAAGACTATGAATAGCCAGCCTTAGATTAGATTAAGTCTGGGTGGAAGTCAGGGTTGAATTGTAGTCAATATTATGAGTTCAGCCAAAGTCCTCATAAGTATAGCAAGCCTTGCATGCATGTGTTTGTGTGTTAGTGGGAGGGGCCAACTACAGCACCTGTAATTCAGCACCCATAGAAGAAGACAGACAGACAGAGGAGTGAATGTGCACAGCAAAGACAGAGGAAATTTGGAGATGTAATGATGTACCACAAACAAACAGAGGAACAGTAACTGTACTGTGGACTAACAACAGCTCATCTTAGCACTCAATTGTAGCACTGCTATTATTGCAATCTTCAGGAGAGGCTTCAATACCCCTGCAACAGAGTGGACGACACCAAGCAATTTCCAATTTGCAGTAACACGTTTATTGGCTTGATTCTCCTTCAAACATACTCACCTCACCACACCCTGAAAGTGCCAGGTGCAACTTCACTTCCACTTCTGGTTTATGAGTCGTTGTGGATGAAGACAAGGGATTATGGACTCTCTTCTGTGAAGAAACATTACTGTCAGGTGAGACCTAAGTTTCAGTTTTCCTGCCACTTTGCTGAGACAGCTTATTATTAACTGGCCCCATGTAAGCACAGACCTCTCCAAGTGCTACTTCAGCATATAAACACATTTCCCGTCTCAACAGAGGTTAACAGGACAGCTTTGTTGCTACTGAGGAAGGCTGAATTCAGGAATTAAACACGTTTTGGAATGAAGAGGCTGGAAATTTATCCTGAAACCTGTTGAAGTCAACCCCAGCTGGAAAGAGACAACATCTGTTTTAAACAGGTTAGTATATATAGCATTGTTATACTTGAGTATTTCCATTGTATGTTACTTTATTCTTCTACTCTGCAAAAATTATATCACTGCTTTACCTTTTTTATAGATTTCACAAACACACACACACACACACACAATATTAGGGTGTACAATTGGATGTTATTTTGTATGAAGGGTTTGCAAAAAAAACCTGCTGTACAGTGGTTCTACCTGACAGAAAGAGACGTCTGTCATGTAACACTGTGGGAACATTGACTGAATGGAAGTTTTAATAATTTAATTCTTCTTCTTTTGGGGCCCAAACTATTTCAGATGTAAATAATACATTTGGTGTCTGAATTATACTATTTTTGTTATCATAGCCATCATTGTAGGAAGGAAGGAAAAACATACATATAACAGAAACAAACAGTAAACAAGCATATAAAATACAACGCTTTGGTTTTAGTGCAAATGCTAAACCAGTGGTTCCCAACACATTTCGAATGAGTTGTTAGCAGTTGCAATATTTCATTTAGTAAACCAAAATAAAGTTAAAATTACACAATATTTCACAAAAATGTAAAGATTATAGTGCAATCCAAAAAATGAGTACACAAGAACTTCGTCTTTCCTCTCCCACTGATCATCTCACAATTTCCTTCAGATTGATCTGAAAGAGGAACCACTGGACTAAACTAGCTAAAACTATATAAAACCAGCTCCACCAGGGGAAGTTACAAAAGTGAAATACTACTTAGGTACTGATGTTTATATTACATTAAAGTGCCAAATAATAAATCAGTCAAAGGGTCTATTCTTCTGCAGACCAAATACCTTTTGATACTTCAAGTACATTGCTTACTTTTATTGAAGTTGGATTTTGAACTTTACTTAAATGTGTATTTGTACATTGTGGTGGAATTTGTACTTTTACTGAAGTAAAGGATCAGAATACTTCTTCCACCACTGCGTAAATCTACATGACCCACATACAAGTCAACAGTTTGCATAGTTGGCACAAAACAACCTCAAAAACTTTACAAATATCAAGTCATATAAGGTTTTTTCACAAACCTACCATACAAATTGAGTCATTGGTGCATTGTGGGTAGATGCAATAGGCATTGTCTTTTGGGATGAGCATCGTATCAAGTTGGCTGTACAATAGCGGACAATAGCGGACTGATAAGTGCTCTCCTTTGCTGACATATCAAATGCTTCATTCAATGAGCCATCATTGTCACGAAAGCTGTTGTGGACTCCAGAACACTAAATCATTTCTAAATTTCTCAATAAATATCAGGCAAAAGAACTATCATTAATGATGCTTCATTCATATGTACAACCCCTGATTTGAATAGATATTAATGGTATATGAAAAGCAGGGTCCTCATTTTCTATTTGATCAAGAAATAATTTTCTGAGATCCTGATTCTCACACTGCCTTCAGGTTTAACACTAGTAAACTGCAATAACTTCACACTTTTTTACAGTGTATTTTTTCATTGGTTTCATTGCTTTTGTGCCACTTTGCAACAGGACAACTGGGTTGATGGTTAATCAGTCCTTCTGTCTGTCAGTTTCGTCCAGAACAAGATATCTCAACTATACTGGTCAGATTGCCATTCCCGCTGTGTTTACTACAGCCCCGTATCCCAGTATCAACATTCTGTCTAATGTTATGGTTCTGATATTGATAGTCTGCTATTTTGTAATATCCTGACCTCTAGCATCATCATTACACTAGTATTTAACAGTGAAAAGTGCAACATCAGTTCATTCCAGTAGAATTGCTTCGATTAGTAGATTCACTCGAAACAGCTCTCTTGACATTGTTGACCTCTGAGCAAATGGTTAGCAAAAAAGTCTAAACTGGAGAAAGCAATCCACTTGTATTAAACCTCCTCTGTCAGAATATAAACTGCTCCAGGTAGTTTGATGGTACAAACATGTCTTTTGAATAAACTGCTAACTTATTAGCTAGTAGGTGACAGAGCTAATGAGCTTGCTAACTGAAGAACTTTTTTCTCTTTTGAATCAATTTTTTTATTGAATGAAGCTAGGCTCAATTCAAAGAGAACATGACTGGGGGGAGGACACAACCCAGTACAGAAAGTAGAAAGAAACTGGGAGGCAGCACCAGCAGTTGAATTTAATGTCTTTAGAAAGAAAAGGAAAACTGAGTTGGTTTGATTTTAAAGCTGTTGCCCAGGAGACCTGTTGATGTTATATATATGGCTATATATATATATTTGCTATGATGTTGCAAATGACACATTGTCTACGAAAGTGCCACAGTAATGTACTATACATCTGTCAGTCCTATTCTTCAAAAATCATATAGCCATAACATTCTGACCACCTGGGCACCC